ATTCGCAATGACATCAGCCCCTCTCGCTCGCGCTCGAGCCCGCCCGGCCCGCCCTCCCTCGCACAGTTGTACTCGGACGCGACGCACTCGCGGGGGGGTGAATGTGTGTGTGAGTGTGTGTGTGTTGGCGCACCGTGTGCACTGTACCCACGCCTCGTCCCGTGCGCCAGCCGAGGAGAGCGAAGGACTTTACTATTTCAGTTTCGCCATGTTTAATCAGCTTTCCGCGCGCGCGCGCGCGGTTCAAATTTCAAACTAAACACTGAATATATTCGCCGAGCTGCAGGGGCGTGGCGCGGCGGGGCGGGGGTGGATGGAAGGAGCGCCCGCCACGGGAGTCTTACACACGTCTCCCCAGTCTTTACTCAGCAGCCCTCTCGCGGCACTAAATCAAATCTCAGTCGCGGGGGGTGTATTTGTCGCCAGGGTCTTCTCCTCCTGCAGAACCAGAAGGAAGTAGGGTGGCACGTTTCACCACAGAACTACACTGAACTGAAGTAGAGAGGGGATTTGTAGATGCTGGCCGATGTTTAAAAACTGTGTGGTTATGCTGTTTGAGCTCAAACAGGGTGCGTTGACACAACAGGCTATGATCTCATTTAATTTACTCAATAACGGAAGAAGTTCATAACACACAACGTTCTAGGTGCTCCTTGTTTGAGATACAGGGAATGCCAAATCTTTACGAGAAAACTTGACGGCACCTCATCTCGAAAGAACACGAAGGATTAAAAAAGTAAGTTGCCATGGGGTATGGATAGATAAATGTTGCTAGCAAGACATCATGCATTACACAACTAATCCGTAAATCAAATACCCAATCCTTTCAAAATTTCACAAAGTTTGTAGTTCCTTCCCCACACTCTAAAGACCCACACTCACCCCCCAACCCCCACACACCATACAAACTCACTACACACGGCGACGCATCCACGGCTCCTTCCACAAACTTTCTGTTTGTTCTGCCGGTACGGCAAATACCTCTTCCTCCCTTCGCGAATGGCAAAACGGGGCCGCGGAATGTGTGATTCCAGATGAGGGGAGGGGGAGGGGAGGG